CTTCCAACTTTAGGTCCCGGCGTTTGGACCGGTTGATGCGGTAACGGTATCTTCCAACTTTCGGTTCCAGTAATGCAGAGAGAGAAACCGCAATTACGTCGACCGCTCCAGTAGTGCTGAGAGAGGGAAACGGCAATTACTACGACCGCTCCAGTATTGCAGAGATAGACAGAGAACCTGCAATTATTACGACCACTGCAGTATTGCAGAGAGAGAAAAGCTGCAAATACTACGACCGCTCCAGTATTGCACAGAAAGAAAAACTGCAAATACTGCGACCACTCCAATATTGCAGAGAGAGAAAACTGCAGTTCTTGGCACCGCTCCAGTGTTGCACAATTACTACAACCGCTCCAATATTGCAGAAAGAGAGAAGCTGCAAACCATGGCCGCTCCAGGATTGCAGAGAGGGAGAAAAACTGCAATTACTCCAGTATTCTAGTCAGGAAAGCGGAGACACTGCAATTAAATATTGGGTCTGCTTGGTCCCATCTTCCAACTTTAGGTCCCGGCATTTGGAGCGGTTCATGCGGTAATCAATAGTTGGAAGGTTGCAAACTTGGAAGAATCCAAAGTTGGAAGATGTGTTTTATTCCAATTGTGGGGTGCTGAAACTTTGGATGCGCATCTTCCAACTTTGCGGCTGCCACCATAGAGGAGTTTCAGAAGAAGTGGTGCGAGGCATGGTCCCCTTACATCGGCAGCCCCCACTGACTGACCCAACAATTGAGCACCTCAAAACATCACAAGCCCCTACACTGCTCGCCCAACCCGCTCAGGCGACCAAGCGGGACATTCTCAATACCATCGACGAGGACATCACGGGTATTGAAGAGCACCTGATCAAGCTCAAGAAGCGACGAACCGAGGTGAACGAGATGTGTCTGCTGCCACTGCTGCCTCCGAAGGACAACTCTGGCAATGCAAAAAGTAGTTGCATCGAACCTTTGCAGCAGTCGTCAGACTGCTGAGTGCAGCCGATCTTTGCCCCCGGCCAGGAGCAATAACTTTTCAGGTTTTAACTAACATGTAAGAAATAGTCGAATGAAATACTGAGTCCGGAGGCATGTCACTGGCCAGGGCAAGCGCATCGTGTGGGGAGTTTGAAGAAGTCCTGAGTTTTGCGAGACCCAGGCCAGGAGGAGGAGCTAGGATTCACATAAAGGTTGAGAACGGAGGCATCTCACTGGCCAGGGCAATGGCGAAGCGCATGTTTTTGCAACAGTTTCAAGAAGTCCTGCGATTGCGCAGCCGCCCCCGGCCAGGAGGAAGACTTAGGCTTTTATTATCAGCATTCAGAGCGGCTGTAGAATCAATCCGCAGGCATCTCATTGGCCAAGGCAAGCGCAATCCTTTTCATGAGCTCGAATCAGTCCTGCGATTTCTGTGCCCCCGGCCAGGAGATATAGGTCTAAGTTTGAAAGGTTGAGAGTGGCTGCAGTTTCAGTCAGCTAGGACGTATCTCGCTGGCCACGACAAGCACAGTTTTTTGTATCAGTTTCAAGCAGTGCTGCGATTTCGTAGCCCCCGGCCAGCTTGATGTGCTTGGCGTGGGCGCGGAGGGCAAGCTGGTGATCAAGCTATGGTGTCATGTGTCAATTGATCGAGTGTGCATTCCCCAGGACATTTTCATGCACCAGGGCCACGAGGAAGAGTTATAGGCTTTAACAATCAGCCTTCAGAGCGGCTGTAGACTTAGTAAGACTCTGGATGGAGTGGCCAGGGCAAGCGGAGTTTTTTGCATCAGTTTCAAGAAGTCCTGCGATTTCGTAGCCCCCGGCCAGGAGGCAGGGCTAGAGTTCAAAAAGGGTGAGACTGGGTGCAGATTCAACCAGGAAGCATCTCACTGGCCAGGGGAATCCGAAGTTAGCGGCGGACTGTGAAAAGCGGGTGCTGTGGGATGTTGCCACATGTGGGGTTATTGCCATCACTATCGTCTTCTGATATAATCGAGGAGCGATGGAGTTATGGGTCGGGTAATCCTTTCCAAAATTTAAAAGCACCAAGTCTACACTTCTCAACAATATGGTTTCTCTCAACAAGAAGAACTGAGCCTGAATACCTAAATCTCCAGCCACATCTGAGTTGACCGGTCCGATTCCTGTTACCCCAGCAGCACCGAGGTTCTATCCAGCAATGCTCCTGGAAAGTCATCGGCAGCCGTGGTGGTTTTGAGGAGGTGGCGTCTGCACAAAGTCATGGGTCATTTAAGGTGCTTTAGGTGATTTGAGGTGCCCGCTGAAGGTGATAGGTCTGGATGGGGTTTAGGTTGTTTTCAGGATTCTGCCTATTAGGTTTGGGGGTGTTTTTGTTTTTGAGTTGAAGTTAGGCATTGGGTTCGGCAAGCCGCCGCTAAGGAGCCCAACATTGGATGAACAATACGCATTTACCAGGAAAACTTAAAAAGCCAAGGGTTCTGTGTGGACTTCATGTTCTATCTTTGGGGGCCTTGCCTAGACCCAAGGTTATAACAGCTGCAGCAGGCAATAGGCTTCGGCAGCGAAGCAGTGAGACTTATCTAGTGGGTAGAGGGTTCCGAACCCCAGGTATGGGCCGTCCAGGCCGGACGGCTGATAGTCAGGGTTCCGAACCCCGATGACCCAAGTGGTTTGCAACGGCGATGTATGTACTTTAATGTACAAGCCCAAGATGCCTTTGTGTAGGTTGACGAGACGTAACCCTGCCTAACCCTTGTCCGGCCCGGACGGTGTATACTGCAGGTTCACATACTCATACCGTTGACATTGCTTGCAACTCTGCCCGCGTCAATCCAGCAGCCCTTTGAGGCGTCAGTGTCAGTGTCAGTGGTCGCATAGCGTAGCAGGCCCATACAGCGCCATGACAGCCGTGGTTCATGAGGCAAAGCGTGTTCCCATCAATCTCATTTCACTGGAGGACCGGGTTTTAAGTTTTGGCACAGGGATGAATGAGTTGCTTCTGAGGGCACCCAGTCGCAAACCACCATCAGGAAGACTCCGGATGGCGGCCGCTCGGGCAGGGCCGCACGGACGAGCTGATGTTGGAGATCAGCAAAGGCCAATGGGGCCGATCTAATTTAGCCCCGCCCTCTTTGATGGTGAGTCTCGGAGCTGACGGCCTTCGCCCCATCTTCAGTCAAAAGGACGGGTTATGGCGACTCGCGAATGGGAAACACTGCATTCACGCCTGGAACACTTTCATCAAGAACAATGCGCTGGACACGGAGGACTGGGACTTAGGATTAGCGGGACTTTGGGGGATATAGACCCTCTCAATAAGATCCTTTTTAAGAGAGCCAGAACTAGGGTTGAGAAGGGGTACCCTTTCAGAATTTCAGGGGTCGCCCTAATAATACTACTTAAGACTTAACGAGGTGGATGACAGCAAGCTTGATGAGCTTGGTATCGGCGCGGAGGGCAAGCTGGTGATCAAGTTGGGTGTAATGTGTCAATTGGTCGAGTACGACTCGACCGATGTCCAGGACATTCTCATGCACCAGGGCGTCCAGCACGATGCAGAGTCCGCCTCGAACAAGTTCAAGCAAACAAGCTTGCAATCCAAATTCGATATCATCGTTGCTGCGCAGGGGCGGGTTCCTGGTGGCGCCATGGAGGAGGCAGTCAAGTTGCTGGTGAAGCAGTTTGGGGTCTCCAAGAAAGGGACCTTCTGGAGATGGGCCCACATGCGGCAGGTCCTTCCGGAGGAGGTCCGAAACATGTTCGACAAGCATGGCTCGCTGCCGCAGGGGTATGCCCTTCGTCCGCAATGCAGCTGTCTGTGAGGAATAAAACAGTACAGGTTGCAGGCATGCAGGGTTCATGTGGGGTCAGCGCCCGGACCAGGTCTTCGACAACCGCTACTTGTGTGGCGTTGGGGAGGCGGCCAAGTACAGGCTGGGCCCTGGGTGGGCTCTCGCCGCTTTCCAGCTGCTGCTTGATCACCTGGATGGCCAAGTTCTCCAAGTGACGACTGCGCAGTTCAGCAATGACTTCTGCAGACCGCTGAAAGCGGCGGAGGTGTGGGTGAAGCAGCAGCTGTCGGCCCACAAGAAGATTGCAGAGTCAAGTGGAAGCTTCCAGTGCCCCAGCTTGCAGTTGACACCTCACGGTGACACTTTTCATTTGATGCTTCTATTATAAGCTCATAACTATGGTGCCAAGGCGCGTCACCGCCTGGCTCCAGTCCGACAAAGGACGCAAGGCCGTGCTGAAGTGCTTGGGTGAGAAAGTGTGACTCTGAGCTTATTCCAGGATTCCAGCATGCTTGTGTGATGACGATGTAATGGCAAACAAAGACTCTTTTGGGCCTAGGTCCCCATCAACAGCATGGAAGAGCTCAAGCGCATGGCCGAGCAGCTGAAGGAGATGGCGAAAGCAGGTGCAACAGTGTCAGAGTCAACCTCGAGCTCGCCGCCAGTGTCAGGGGAGCCTGCTGCGGCCGGAGAGGCCGCTGAGATTGGTGAGGATGTTGACACCTCTGTCAACGTCGAGATGCAGGATGCGCCCGCGAAGATTGATCCGCAGCTCGAGCAGGCCGAACGCGAGGCGACCGCCGATCTCGTCAAGTGCACCGTGCACTTCGAGCGCAGAGATTGGGTCGAGGAGTTGAAGCTTCATGTCTTTGCTGGCAGCAAGACCATTGCTGTCGTCGACAGCCCGACAAGCAAGGTCAAGCACGTCCTGGATGAGCTCAATTTCATGTCCGATGCGATCAAGAACCACATGCACCCCGAGACCGTGAATGTTATAGTGCCGGTTGGAAAGCGCTTGGATCTTTTGAGCATGGTCGCGCAGAAAGCTGAGCTTCTCTTCCCGAAGCGGAAAGTGTTCACACTGGCAGTGACTGCAGGTGAATCGTGCCTTAGCTGTAATTTCTAGGCTGCCTATTGGGATATGTTGTATTTCCGTTAGTCACTTGGCCTTGGTAGAGACCATTGAGACTTTGTGAGAGTGTTCAAATTGAAGGCCAACCTATATATAAAGTTTTACTATGACTGTTGCTCATGGCCCGAAGCGCCCCCAGTCAGCCAACCCGCGAGCAACTATGAACTCAATGGTCGCCAAACCGCCCGGCCTGCATCGTACCGCAGGCAGACGCTCAAGCGGGTGCCCAACGACATCGTGTACATCCCGGGCCCGGCTTCCAAGGAGAATGTGCCGGTCCTGGTCAAAGCGAACAGTGTCAAGGCCTCCACGTGGGAGGGCCTTCGCCTGGTCTGCAAGAGCCGTACATGCAGCCATCGCGACGCCCCCGCAAACAAGGACGAAGCCGACTTGCACGAGGAGATCTCCCCCGAAGACATGGACGAAGACTGCGATGCCGACATGGACATCCAGGAAGATGAAGACGAAGTTGTGATGATGGAAGATGTTGTTGAGGAGGGCGGCAGTGCCAAGAAAAAGAAAGATTACACAGTTGCTCTGTGGCCCTTCGCCAAGCCGATTCAACATTGGAAAATCATTCTGGATCAGGTGGCGCATGCTTCCAGTGCCAAGTACCTGGTGTGTATCAGTCGGTCAGCACATCCAGGCTTTCCGGCTGCGGCATCTCGACTTATGAGCCAGTGTGTTTCTTGAGTTGCATGGGTGAGTCCTCAAATCACCCATTCTCTGTCAACATCCTCCACTACTATACTGCGATAACGACTATAGTTACTAGTACTAGGACTACCCTAGTTAAGTCCCTTAGGGGGTGTAGGGTTTAGGGTTTTGGCACGGACGCATTCCGCATTGTGAGGGGCGTCTATGCGGGCTTGAAGTCTTCAGCTTGGTGGAGGCTGCCTCGAAGCACTCTCAGCGACATGCGACTGAGTTGTTGAGGCAGATGGTGACGCAGCGGTTTCTTGTGCAGGCCAGGAAGCAGCAGGGGGTGAAGCGTGCTGCTTCTCGGGGTGGCCTTTCCTTCATCGGAGCCACTGTCCCCGACGGCGAGATGACCATTGTCAAGGAGGTCAGCCTGGACGGTGCTGCGTGGCCTTCTGGGCTTAACTCCTGGCCTGAGAACCTCCAGGATCGCTGTGTCGAGCTGCTGCACAAGGAGCTTGGCCAATGCGACTTGGCGCTCGTCGACACGAAGTTCGGCAAAGGCCTCGAGACCACGAGAAGCTATCGAGATGGCGACATCATTTGCCATGCCTCTGCCCTGTGGTTCGATGATCTGAACCTCTTGAAAAAGTTTTTGGCTCAACCCGGCCACAGTGTCCTCCTGGACCGCGTCTTGGATGCAGACCTGCACACATTGAGATGTTCACAGGATGACTTTTGGCGACAACGTAAATGAAGTCAGGGTTTAATTCCGAGGCCTGATTCGCGTGGACAATATGCCGATCACGGCCGACGAGACTGCAACTTTGTATGGAGCGCTTGTAGGTGCGGCTTCCTACTTGCAGCATTACTTGGGCCTGTCCAAACGAGGCCGTGCTTTGAGCGTGAGTGAGCTTCTGCAGGATTCGTAGATTTCCAGTGTAGCGTTTCAGTGCATCATCCCTCCCAGACCGATTCTTCCGAGAGGGTTTTGACAAATCAATTTCCGGGGAAATGCAGGCGCGAATGTGGAGCTCGTGCCGATGTGTGGTAATGGCTTGTCTTCGACACTTGTGGCTGTTCGTGTGCGCACCAGGAACCACACTGGAATCTCATCTCGCACACTTCTATGCTTGAACTACGGGATGGACTATGATTTCAGTGTCGGCCAGGATGGGGCAGAAGATGAAGCCGAAGCCAAACGCTTCAAAGGGCGACTGGATCAGTTGTTCAAGCAGCAACAGCAGTGTCAGAGTGGGGATGATGACAAGCAGAAGGACGCTGCGACCACGGACCAGCCTGTGGATACAAAGGACGGGCAGCAAGGGTCGGGGCAAGCGCAGGGGCAGGGCGGCAATAACATGACGATTTTGAAGTCTTTGGAAATCTTCAACTTCGGGATGATCCATGGAGACAACAACGATATCAAGCTCATTCTCACGGCGAAGGATGACGCGAAGGGCAACAAGAAAGTGTCGCCCAACAGTGTCTTGCTCTTTGTGGGCAACGGCAATATCAAAAAAAACAAGGATGGCAACACCTCGGGGAACATGTTGTACATGTTCCCCAAAGCAGACAAGTGCTCCGTGATCTTTGCGTTGAAGGTGACGAAGAAGGACTCCGACGGCAAGGAGAAGCATATCGACTATGTCGCAGACCTTGACAAAGTGGAGACATTGTCAGCCCTGATCACCCGTAAGAAAGCCAAAGAGGTGGTCAATGCTGGGACCTTCCCACCTGGCGTGCCGCCCGTGTCGCTGGGCTCCAAGGACATGTTCTTTGAGCCCACTGAGGAGAACGCCAAGTTGGTGGTGTACCCTAGCTGAGTTCAAGTTGGGGTTAGTTTTGGAAGAGATGCAAAGCAAGAGGGTGAGAGAGGACAAAGGCACAGAGAGAGAGACAGCTTCAGGGTTTTGGTGGTCTATCTTTGCACTTTCATATTTAGTGCAATTTGACTGGGAAGACGCGTGTGATTGTGATTTCCCCTCTCAATTGAGGAAGAAGGCCATGAGCATGAGCCAATGCAAAGTTGTCTGGGTCTTCAAAGAGAATGGCGAAGCCAAGCTTTGCCCCTGCGGACTGGCCATTTTGCTTGCGAAGCAGGTCTCGGTTTCTCCTAAGCAGCCACTGGAGCTGTCCTGAGTGAGATTCAGGCTGAGATGTTAGGCAAGGCCGGAATATTCGTGAGTTGAGTTTGATTATGCTGTTCTTCTCAGTCTAAGCTATAAAGCACTGGCAGTCACTGTCAACGGCCTCCGCCTCTGCTTTTAACGGTTTCTCCCAAACAGCCAGTGGAGCTGAGCTGTCCCGAGTCATTTTCAGGTGGAGGTTCTAGGCATGGCTGAGATATTCGTGCGTTCAGTTTGACCATGCTGTTCTTCTCAGTCTATGCTATGAAGCATCGGCAGTCAACAGCCTCCGCCTTTCCTTTTCAGTACAGGCGTCCAGTACAGCCCAGCGCAGGACCATCCGAGCATCTAAACACAATCTGGAAATCTAATTATGTCACTGCTACCGATCCACATGTGGCCTGACTGCGCAGGGCATTTTCGGATGCGCAGACTTCAGACCCGTCATGGACTTCGTTCATTTTGCTGGATTGTGAAGCTTTCAGCAATTGAATGGAGGACGACCGCTTAAAATGTGAACTCTGGTCTTCGACATCCTGCTTTGAGTCTGGGGCTTGAGACCTGAATTGTCAGTTGTTGGGTCGAAAGGTGTCCGTGGCTCCGAATATCTTCGTATCTAGGTCATAGGGTTAAACCGCTACAGCCGCTTACCTTGTTGATGTGAGAATGCAGTCTCTATCCGACTCATGTACCGACTAGGTTCACGGTGCAGGGTTACGGTTTTACTGTGTAGGGTAGGATTGCCGTTTCCGAAAGGCCAGCTTCGTCAAGATTAGGGCAATGCCGAAGTGTAAGTAATTGACAAGAGCAAAGGGTCAGCAACAGCACGCCAGGTGCAAACGGTCGTGGCATCATCATCAATATGGCAGGCGGGACGGTCCGGAGGTAACCCCAAAACTCTTGCTGCATGCCCCAGAGGGACGTTTGCTTCTGCGGGAAATGCCGAAGTGTAAGTGACAAGAGCACAGGGTCAGCAACAGCACGCCAGGTGCAAACGGCCGTGGCATCATCATCAATATGGCAGGCGGGACGGTCCGGAGGTAACCCCAAAACTCTTGCTGCATGCCCCAGAGGGACGTTTGCTTCTGCGGGAAATGCCGAAGTGTAAGTGACAAGAGCACAGGGTCAGCAACAGCACGCCAGGTGCAAACGGCCGTGGCATCATCATCAATATGGCAGGCGGGACGGTCCGGAGGTAACCCCAAAACTCTTGCTGCATGCCCCAGAGGGACGTTTGCTTCTGCGGGAAATGCCGAAGTGTAAGTGACAAGAGCACAGGGTCAGCAACAGCACGCCAGGTGCAAACGGCCGTGGCATCATCATCAATATGGCAGGCGGGACGGTCCGGAGGTAACCCCAAAACTCTTGCTGCATGCCCCAGAGGGACGTTTGCTTCTGCTGTACTTCGAGTCTCATGTCCGTTGACCATGTCGTTGTGGGCTCTCATCCGCAGTGGTGTCGAATGACTGCTGCTTTTTCATTCTACATGACTGACAGGCAAGAGGTGTCATGACAAAGTGGCTGTGGACTGATGCAGTGAGATTAAAATCAAACCAAGCTGAACCATATAGGCCTATAGGTAGTGCGACTGTGTTGAGGGGAACGTGTTTCTGCGACATGGGTGGAGAGTCAGAGCACGGCAGCCCTTGCGGCCTGCAGTGGGAGCTGGTGCATAGCGACGATGAGGTCGTCATGGAACTTGGGCAAGACCTTGCTGAATCTGCGTGCGACACGGAAGCATCGGGCGTTGCTTTCGAAATGCCGCCGTGCCAGATTGACATGGATGGCCATCCTGGTGTGTCCTTCGAGGGTGGCCTTGACAATGTCAGCTTGGAGTCCAACGAGTGGGTCCCAGGAATGAACTGTGGCTCGACCATATGTTCGCTGAGCCCTGCTCTCCAGCAGGCACAGGTGCTGATAGTTAGCACGGTTGCAAATATCAAGAAGCTTCCGAAGCAGCTGACAAAGGATATGCTCTGCGGGTTTACTGACATCAAGGGCAGCACTGGCAAGTCATACACAGAAGTGCTGGCAGCTAACCTGCTGGGACTGTCACGGCAAACAGTTTCAAGATGCTGGAGGGATGTGGAAGCCAATGGTTGGACGCCCATTCATCGTGAACCATTACATCCAGAGCGGAAACTGCAGCCAAGCAAGCCATCGCACACGGTGGATACGGAGGAATCCCGGTGGCAGCCAAGCAGGCCATCGCACGCTGTGGATACGGAGGAATCCCGGTGGAGGAAGAGCGCCACGGTTTGCGTCCGAACTGCCATCGGCTGTGCTGTGGAAGGGCAGTCGAGAACATCCTTCGAGCGTGAAGTGGCACGGCTCCGGCTTTGTGGCGTGGATGTGGACGGCGCGATGTGCCACTCACGCAAGTTCTGCGTGGAGGTAGAATACTTGACAAATCAGGTTTTGCATATGATGAACGCCAACGATTGGTGCTCTGTTCTCGGAGGCTTGGGAATTGAATCTGATTTCGCTGTCATGGCCGACCCAGTTTCATTAGGAAAGTGCAGTGCCTTTCCCCGCAACGAAACAGTCCTAGTCGCCAATCTGACCATCGTCAGCGCAGAGGATGGCTCTCTTGTAACCCCGATGCTGGACTACCGAACGCTCGGAATTGGATGCCACAGCGGCTCTGAGACGACACGACAGCTTCTGGAGATGCTATCGCAACATCCCAGTATGCTGGATCTGCCCATCTTGAAGGCTCGATTGGCCATGATTGATGGTGACGGGCAAATAGTGAAAGGGGGTGCGCAAGCCCGACATTCCAGTGGCGGTGCCGCCGAGTTGCTCTGGCAGCGCGTGCATCCAGAGGCTGAGCCCGACTCTTTGGTCGTGTGCACACGTTGGGACGACTTTCACAGGCACGGGGTCTTAAACAAGTAGCCAGAGGTGCTGTCGAGGAATTTAGGGCTTTGTTTTTTGTGAGTAATCTTAAGTCCAATGTATTTATTCTTCAATAGCCACTTCGAGTAGGATCGACAATGCAATCATGCGAGCAGTTCGTCGGTCACCTCCTGCAAGCGAATGCTTCGACGTGGCAGCGTCCTGCGATCGACTGTTCAACGTGGGGGAAGGCAAAGTGTTAAAACGTGCAGCGTCCAAGAGCTTCGGCAGATGTAGCTCTTTAGTGCCAATCCATAGTCATGGGCCTTAGAGATTTTCAGAGCATCCATAAACACCAATACGGTAGAATGCTCGAGGGCCGCCACTTGCGTAAAGTAGAAAGAGCCCTGAACATGCCCGACAGCACTGACGCCAAAAACAAACAACATGAAGGCTGCTAACCTTTCTGCTGCTTGCAGTTCAGGAGAGTGGGAGCCACCGGAGCCAGTTTGAGGGGCCCCGGAGGGACCCGGAAGGTCGTGTACCTGAGCGGAGCTCCAGGTGGTTTGATTTCGAACTACCAGATTGTTCTTCTATGTCTTCATGGTAAAGTCGCATGGAAGAAAGAGGGCAAAGGCAATGTTTCGCTGACCAGCCTCTTTGAAGTCGGCCGGCGTCTTCAAGAGCCCTCCTTCGTGTTCTTTTTGGTCGGGTTCGACGTGGCACTGCTGAAGATTGTCCGGCCCTTCGCACTGATCGTCCAGAAAGCGGAAGAGGCATCTGTGGTAGAGAAAGCCAGACGTAATATGGAAGCTGCTCTGGAGACAATGCAGGAATCTTTTGCCAAAGTCAAAATCATGCTTGGCGCAGTGGCCTGCTGCAGACAATATGTGTCCTCTAAAGAGTTGGCGCGCTTGATGTCTGCGTGTCGATATACATCGTGGGGCAAACCGGTCAGATCCTTTATCTTGCATGCCAGCAAGGTGCTGTTCAACATTCCTCCAGAATTTCAGGGTTGCAAACTGCAATTGAACGCGCAGCTTGCCCCTGGCATGATGAGCTTGGGAGGTCATTGTCAGTGCTTGGCCGCGGAAGAACACTGCCGAAGGGCCAGGCGGCGAGCAGTGCCGGAGATCAGAAGAGTCAAGACCAAGATCTATGTTTTTCGGCGGGGCCGTCGCGTGCAGAAGACAGTGAGTGTGCCATTGTGGACCATGCTTGAAATCCAGAAGGATGCCAGTTTCTTTTGCCCAAGGCAGCAGCTACGCGACACCACAAAGAACTCCGTGCTTGGGATGGACTACTCAGACATGTTTCGACCACGCCTCCCGCGAGCTAACTGGCTTGGGAGCCGGTGCCAGGTGCCGAACGGGGTGTTCCAAGCTCATGCTGCATGTGTACAGGCGATTGAGGCACTCATGGAATTCTTGAAGTACGCGAAAGAAGAGGTGGATGACATCTTCTCGGATGTTGGGATGAATTCCGACATGCTTTCCCTACTGCGTGCTGGGGAGGTGGCTTTTGATTGGACGAGCTTATTGGCTCAACCGCCCACCCGAGCATGCCTAACAGCATTTGGCCGACTCGTGGAGATGTTCAAGCCTTATCTTGCCAAGGGTCGATGGCCCCACGGCGATGCTTTCCAGAAGGTGCCCCAGACATGGTCCTTGCAGAAGCGGGAGTTCACGCAGCAATACGAGCTGCTGGTGTCCAGAGTCCGCCACTTGCTGAGACTGAGAAGCGCATGGTAATAATAATAATAACACTATAATAGTAATAACAATAATAATAATGATAATAATAATAATAATAATAATAATAATAATAATAATAATAATAATAATAATAAATAATAATGG